ACAGCAGGTGTTTTCCCATTTGCATGAATGTTTATACAAGCTTGTTGATAATATCTTTAAAGTGAGGCTTATCCTGTAAGAAAGTCACACTACCTTTCTGTCAATGCAAAAATACAGGAGTTAAATAAATTTTAAAAAATTAGAAGAAAGAACACCGGAGATAGAGAAAATGCAGCTACTGTGGAGGTGGCTCATGGGTTCGTTAAGCTATTTTTCAAAGGCAAATCTGCTTTAACTATGTTCTTAAATCATAAATTTTTATCATCATCCTTACCACTAGCGTGTTCAGCCTCAAGATTGATATCTTAGAATATATACCCCCAGAAGCAGCAGTGTGTGTATAGAAAACGCTGTTTCCCTGTGGATGCCACTATTTCAGGTTTTATCTTCCAGCCATCTTTGCCCAGGGATGTACAATTGTCAAGTAGAGATGACCTTCAGTTCACGGAAAAAGAACAAGAGCCCAGATACCAAATGATCACCCACCTTACATAATCAACAGAAATGGAGAAGAGCACATGATGAGCCAATCATCTTTTGTAAGTTGAAATCTATTTGTAAAAGTCCCTAAACAACAACAGTGCTACTGAAAAGGTGTGTAGAAAACCTTAATACTATCTTAACTAGGAAATGCTGGCTTGGTTTGATGATATTACAACGCAAGAAACGAAAGACTAAGCAAGAGAAGTCTCAACTGAAAAGGAATGCTTGCTCCTTGACAATGATACCCTCACCCACATTAATTGTAATAATAACACAATAATTGCTAAAACTAAAACCAAAATGATAAGCATGTTTGTGGAAAGAATTAGAAGGTAAACCACATTTTTCAAAATTTCCTAGGATAATCATAAACAAATCATTCATTTCAACTGCACCATTCTCTGTTAAATTATGCTTCAATTAGGTCCACCTAGTTTGAACCCTGTGCAGGAGTTGTTTTTCTCCAGTATCCATGCCCTGCTTAAGGTTTTACTGCCTCCAAAAGAGAATGACTTCATCACAATCAAAATCTCTAATGGAACAATTATCCTTCTGCAAAGGAGCGCATTGCAGAACTCCTTTGCATGCATAATGTTCACAGTCAGCAAGGTGGATCTGTATCTAGTGTGTACTATGACTACGATATAATCATGAAATCAATCATATGACATAAAATGAAGGGAGAAAAACTTTTCCTTCTAAATAACTGCATATGACATACAATGTCCTTAGACTTCACCTTGCAATCTATTTGAGTATTGAGCATTAGCAAACACGACCCTTGGAGTTAGATTAGGAAAACCATTTTAGCTTTTACCCCTAGACTGAATTTGCCACAACTTGATATTTTCACCCAATGCACTGCAAAATTTTCCAAGAATGGAACAAGAAGTAGAACTTTTGTAGAATGCAATGACTAAAGTAGAAGATCAAGAAAATGTGTTGTGTTTTTCTTATCCATGGATGTAGAATTCAACTGATAAGAGTCTAAGAGTATGTTTGGATTAGCTTGTAAGAGCTTTTACTTTTTTTTTGTACTGTTCATGAGTGATGAGTTTAAATTTTTATTGGAGAGAAAATTTAAAAGTTGCTTTTAGAGATAAGAAAAAAGTGAGTAAAATGTGAGTAAAAATGGAATTTATGAAAAGTTTGGTTTTGAAGCTTTTGAGCTTTTACTGTTTGAAAGTTTTTTAAGGTTAAAAAAAAAGTTTAAAAATGTAAATTTTTAAGAGGAAAATTTAAACTTATGAAATATGAATAGTGTCAAAAAGCTGAAGCACTTGGAAGCTGAACCAAAGATGCTCTAAGGACCATATATCAAAAGTTAAAATTGTTGCTAATAATAAAGCCACCAGCACTTATCAAGTTACTCAAGCCTCACACACTATATGCACGTATATGACTGATACATGTTCCTAAGCAAATGTTATAGCTCACTAGTGAAACATGGGAATTACACAGTTGAAAAAACAAGGGAAAATCTCTACACAATTCCATCACAATGCAAATTTCTTACAATCAACAGAATATGTTCTTTCGTAAGAAAAAGGGAGTACCACAAGCATTGAAGCAAACCCTCATACCAAAACAGAGAAAATGGGGCAAAAAAACACACAAAAATAAGAAGGAAAAGAGAACACCATTATGAGAAAAATGTGGGAGAGAGAAAATGTTATTGAACCTCAGGTTGGAAATAGTGGACACGTTTCTGGAGGTCCCAATCATTACATGATATATGGAATGCTCACAAGGTGCTTCCAGTCATGGTCCTCCCCTCAAATTAATTTGTCCATGTAAAACAATCATACATAGAGCAAGTGGAAGAGAAGACAATTGGATAAATGCTGTGATATTGTATTTCATTAAGTACATCTGAGCATTTATACACTATAAAATATATATATTTCTGGCCAACCACTACAAAATATAAATTGAATTCAAATTCAACAGAAAGTAATAAAACATTAATGCAGATAATATCCTTGGTTATGACAATACTCCCTGACTTTGAGATTTTCAGCAACCTGGAGGATGGAGGTTCACATATTACTTATCTTTATGCCTATTAAGTTTGGATTCTACCCACCTTTCTTTTTCATTTTGGTTTTTAAACTTATCCTGCTTTTCTAAACAATTTCCAATTGGAAACAAAATGATGCCCAAAACAAAACCCGTGTGCATCATCAGTTCTACATTGACTTGCCTGCAGAAAAATATAGGTCTTCCTTCTCTATACTCCATAAGCTTTACACTTCTGAGTTTTCCTTCGCTTATTCTCTTGGCAGCTTCCTCAGTTTAGCTACAAGCTACAGGTATGTTATCTACTGCTATGTTTATATTTTCTGTTTGTTGTTGTTGATAAAATGAAATTATAGCTGGTCCACCTTTCTTAATTATTTTCTAATCTGTTATGGTTATTGTTATGTATTTGTTCAAATCCGGTGCCAATCTTGTGCTTCTTTGCTTTGCCTTCAGCTCCACTTATTTTCAACTTCCTCACCTCATTTTGCCAATTGATCTGGAGGTATGTATACACAACATATTTTTTACTATTGTTTTTCTCTCTTGGATGTATAGAAGGTTTAATTTCTGTTTGAATCTCTGCTAAACATATGGGTATACAAAAATTGTCTTTAACCATGACAAAAACGTTTTATAGATAATATGATAAAAATTTCTTAGTTAGTATGTTGAAACCTATTCAATTTCAACTTGAAATTTCTCAAAGATTCCCTACTCTGGTGTATGATCTACGATCTTTGACACAGAATGAATGTTACATATATAAAAGAGAGCAAAAGATACTCAAATTGTTTGGTTTAGATCATAACCCAACATGAGGCAAAATATCAACCAAGTTAGTACATATATATAGGAGTACCAACTTTTGTTTTCTTAAGCCTTTTTCTTTGGCTGAAGCAAACAGTAACTCAAGTACCTCACTTGGTGTCACATTTCAGGAATTTTCTTAATGGCAGACATTGCAATGCTAATTCTTGAGATCATAAAGTGCATACCAATTCCAACATGCCGTTGTGTAGATTATCATAGAAAATTCAAACAAGATGTGGAGGATCTCAAAAGCAAATTGAGAGACCTAAATAGCAAAAAAAAGGATGTAGAAACACAACTACAAGCAGAGGTTTGCTCGCAAAAACAAGTCAAGCAACAAGTGGAGGACTGGCTTCAAGATGCGCAGAGGATCAATGTTGAAATTCAACAGGTGGAGCAAAGGGTGGACAATGCTTCATTTCTCTCACAAGCTCGTCTTGGAAAACTTGTTCGTGAAAAAATTAATGTTGTGGATGTAATTCTTCAACGAGGCAGTTTTCCTGAAGGGCTGGTAGTTGATAAGCCTGCAACTGCTTTGCCTTTACCAGTAGAGAATCTCAAAGGTGAGGTTTGTGTGAAGAAAAAGATATGGGGATACTTGACAGGCAACGAGGTCCCAATGATTGGAGTTTGTGGAATCGGGGGTGTTGGGAAGACCACCATTATGAAACACATCCATAATGAATTACTATTGATGGAGTCCAGATTTGATAATGTGATCTGGGTCACCGTCTCATATCCACTCAATGTTGTTAGATTACAATATGAAATTGCTAAGGGAATGAATGAAAGCCTCCCAAAGAATGAGGATGAGCAAAGGCGGGCTTCAAGATTGATGCAGATAATGGGAAGAGTGAAATATGTGTTGATATTAGATGATGTGTGGCAGAGGTTTACTCTCAAAGATGTTGGCATCCCGAGTCCCACAATGGAAAATGGTTGCAAACTAGTTATTACTAGTAGAAAGGTGGATGTATGCAAGTCCCTTGGTTGTGAAATAGTTAAAGTGTCTCCACTTTCAAAGGAAGAGTCTTTGAGTTTGTTCTTAGATAACGTGGGAAGTGACATTCTACAAGTTCCAAAATTGGAAAAAATTTGGAAGGCCATGGTGAAGGAGTGTGCTGGACTACCCTTGGCTATTGTTGTAATAGCTGGGAGCATGAAAGGAGTAACTGATGTCTATGAGTGGAGGCATGCTTTAAATGAATTACGTGAATGTGTAAAAGCTACAGCCGAAGGTTCAGAAGATGAGATATTTGAGCGATTGAAGTTCAGCTATGATCGTTTGCAAGAATCAAATATCCAAAATTGTTTCTTATCTTGCTCACTATATGCTAAAGACTATCAAATTAGAAAAGATGATCTGGTCGAACAATGGATTGATGAGGGACTTATTGAAGAATCAGGGAGTAGACGAGCAATGCTTGATAAAGGGCGAACCATATTAAACAGGCTTGAAAATAGTTGTTTGTTAGAGAAAGCTTATTATTATGAGGACAGTATTAAAATGCATGATGTTGTGAGAGATATGGCATTGCGCATCGCTCATCAAGTTATGGTGAAAGCTCGTATGGGATTGACAAAGATACCAGATGAGCATAAATGGACTGAAAATCTTGAAAAGGTTTCCTTGATGCAAAATGAAATTTCAGATATTCCTCTAAACATGTGCCCATATTGTCCTAATCTCACAACCTTGATGTTGCAAGGGAATAGCAAATTGACCCAAATTCCAGATCACTTTTTTGCAAACATGCAAGGGATTAAGTGTCTAAATCTTTCTAGAACTAGCATTGAAAGTCTACCTAATTCCATCTCTAATTTGGAGAATCTTACTACATTGGTCTTGCAACATTGTAGGCAATTAAAACATGTGCCTTGCTTAGCAAAGCTCAAGGCACTGAAGAAGTTGGATATGTTTAAGGCAGGAATGGAGGTGGTCCCTGAAGGCATTGATATGCTTATAAATCTCCAGTATCTTGATTTATGGTGTCCAGAATTGGTGGAACTATCAACACAAATGCTTAGTAACCTCTCTCACCTCCAACACATGGCAGTATATTCCAAATGGACTACTTTAAGGATAAAAGGAGAAGAAGTAAGAGGATTGAAGAAGTTGGAGACTTTTCAAGCTCAATTGTATGACCTACAAGACTTGAACAATTATGTCAAGTCTAGCCATTTTAATAGATTGAGTAGTTACAGCCTTGTGGTTGGACAAGTAGAGAATGGCTTTCATCTTAATCTTTTTTCGTCTAAAGTAATAAGTTTAGGAGAATGTGAGATAGGTGGACAAGATGGTGTGGTGCTTCCAAATGACGTGCAGGAATTGTGGATTTATAGGTGTAGAAAATTTAGAAGCTTAAGTGATATTTGTTCTCTCCAAGATACAACTAAGTTGAGAATCTGTTTGGTTCTTGAGTGTGAAGAGATAGAGTGTGTGGTTGACATGGTTACATCATCATCATCTTTCATTAATAACTTTGAAGGGCTAGTGCCTGATAAGTTGCCTAACTTGAGTGTTGTCGCGGACGTGGAAGGAGTAAAAGCAACACCGCCTCACATCTTCTCCAATCTTAAAATCTTTTGGATGAGGGGATGTTCTAGAATGAAAAGGCTGTTTCCATTTGAGCTGCTACAAGGCCTCCAAAACTTGGAGTCTATTTTAGTTTGGGATTGTCAACAAATGGAGGAAATAATAGGATGGGAAGGAGAAGAGGAAAATCACACAGCTGATGCAACTACTACTACTACATTCACTCTTTCAAAATTAAAAGAATTGAATTTGTGGAATTTACCAGAATTGAAGAAAATTTGCTCCACAAGAGGAGTAATGGTTTGTGATTGTCTCCAAGGATTACAAATAAAAGAATGTCCAAAGTTAAGGAAGATTTCCTTGGTAGGGAATGTGCCGCCATCTCCTCCTGCTGCTTTAAAAAGAATCTGGATAAAGCAAGAATTGTGGGAATCACTGGAGTGGGATGATCCCAATGCCAAAAATGTCCTTCAACCCTTCGTGGACGTCCTTTGAGGACCGCAAATGGAACACTTTGCATCAAATCAAATGGCTGAGATCCAATACCTCTGGTAAGCCCTCTTTTCTTTTCTTATTAATGTTTAAACTACAATATTTCATTGTTGTTTCTTTTTTCCTTTTTTTTTTTTTTTGAAAAATATCCTTTATTTTTCTTAGTCATATATTCATTGTCGAAACCAAATATTTTCTGGGTTCATATATATAGATCGATCTCGTGGCTGATGCTCTTAACCATCATTCGATTCAATTCTCTTATAATCATTAATATGTAATTAATTCATCTTTCATCTATTGTGAAATGCATTCATAACTAATTGATCTTGTGTGAATTGATTTTGATCAAATTGGTTGTTGTTGTCATTTAATTGATCTATTGTGATTTGTGAGAAAGATTGTCAAGTTTACATGATTTTTGGGGGTTTGAGCGCAACAAGTCTAGGAAGATTTGAGCTTATTTTTGGTTATGCACATCAGGTGTTTGATGAAATGCTTGTGTGAGGATATGGGTCTGTTTTCTGGAATGTGTTTGCTAGGATAGGCTACATAGAAAAGATGGTGTAGGGTATTTTAGGGTGATATACTATATATGTTTTCAAGTTGAGAATCTTTGTAATATGTGGATTAGATTACTCGTTAAACCTTATTCTCCTCTTTTATTGATGATGAGTGGCTTTGTGGGAATATGTTGTGTAGGTCAAATCTGCATCTTTGTTCACCCTGTCAAGAGGATCTCATCTTGGAATGGGCAGGAAATTAAACCAAAACAAATGGGTGGATTTCACGCATCTGCTTGAGTGGAATGTTCTTTCGCAATCTTCGAGATCTCTTTTTGTTTTTGAATGCTAGTACCATGTGAAACTCAATTCAGTTCTTGCTTCTTATTTTCGGTAATTTGGGTTATGTTGTATAAGCTACATTATATAATTATATAATTGTTTCCTCAAAAATCCCCGAGTGGCTTCGCACGTGCGAAATCTAGATACAGGCATTTCACTTACTTTTCTGAAAAGTAAGAAAAAAAAAAGGATTTTCCTAACGATCCTCTTCTTCCACGTGATCGATCTCTGTCAGGATGGTTGGAAGAACATTGGTTTAAGATTGAGTTTTGTGCCCTTCAGATAATTTGCAAAAGGGAGGGATGCTTTCCTGTAGAATGGGTTGCTAATCTGCATTGGACAATCTCAAGGACTTTACCAATACCGTGAATTTAAGTTAATAGATCCAAAATGAATTAAATAAAATGCAAATTGGAATAAACTTGATGTTTATTGCACGAAAGGAAATCAAAGAAGCAATTACACAAACTAATTTGGGTACTTGAATGTTAAAAACAACTTAAATCTACTGGAATATGTGCTAAAACTGAAATATAAAAGCTAAGATGAGCAATTACTACGAAACTAAAGAATTGAAAAATTGACGAGTTTTTGTGTAGGGTTGGCCGTGTCTTGAAAAATTCAGAAAGCTTCTGTTTATATGCTTCCTCAAATTGTCTTTTGGCTGATCAGATCACGAATAACTTCCTCATAAATTCTAGAGATTTTTGTTTCTTTTAAATTCAAGCTGTAACAAACCAGATAACCTTTATCCTTTCAACCAATTTTACAGATATACATCCCTTTAAAAGATTTGATCTCACTTTATCTATTGACACATGGCATCACTTACAAAATGCAATTTAAAGTGTAAACAATGCCCCCAACACTTGATTTTATGAAAATAAATTCAAGTGTCTATAATTAAATAAATTGCATGCAAACTCCAACCACCAATGCCACATGTTAAACAACTCCAAGGTCTGAAAGAAGAGATCTCAAACCTTGAGGCCAAACTTCGGAACCAAACAAATAAATTCTCATTGTGGAGTAGACAGAAAAGAGCTTGGCAGAACAGTGCAGCAAACTTCGCATAAATATAAAGGCAAACTTAAACGGAGTTTTCAAAATCAAAGATGAGTTTTCCTCTTTCATAGCCTTTGTTGCATACTTGATCTAGAACATGTTGAAATCTAACACGACCATAATTTAGTTGCTATGATTGCTGACGACCAAATTTGGCTAGCTTACAAATTCATATCAACACTTTTATTAAAACTCAAAAAATGCTAAATTGGAAAAAGAAAATATTATGCAATTTCACCCAAATCTGACTTAGCCAGAATTCGAAATATCCAGATTTACCTCATATAGCGGATCTTGTACTTTTTTCTTTGGTTTAAATACCATTTTGATCCCTCAATTTTTCACTTTGACACCAAAATTGCAGTGTTTTTGGACCCGGCCCGGCCCGGTCGGTTGAACTGGTTGAACCGGACCCGAGCTTGAAAACGAGCCGGGCCAGTACCTTAACCCATTTTGCAAGTTCACCCGTTTTGGCCCGCCGGTGCTCGCCCAACTCGCTGAAACCGCCTAACCGGCCTAACCCGCCGGGCTGCATGAATTTGAGTTTTTACTTTTTAATGAGTTAATATTAATTAAATTAATTTATTTGATTTTTAATATAATTAGTTAATTACCCACACCATTAACTTTAATTAAAAATTAAAATCGCACATCAATTAAAAAAACAAAACTCTCAGAGGATTAGATCTTCCTATTTGCTATTTCACTGCAAATTGCAAAAGCAAACCCAAGAGAAATTAGAAACAAAAGAGAGCAGAGGAAGAGAAGAATAGCACCACCAGACCACCACAACCACACACCAATCACCACCGCCAGCCTTTCCCTGCCCTATCTCAGCCAGAAATCGCGAACCTGCTGCTCGCTCGTGGCCTCCGTCTGTGGCTTGCAGTCCTTTGTCTCTGCAGAAGCAAAGCCAGAAAGCAAGCCCTTCATCTCTGTGTAGAAGCAGCCAGAAAGCAGAAAGAAAACAGAGCAGCGAAGTCACCGGCGGCCAACTGCCTCCGCGATCTCAGTCGTCGGCGACTCCACAGCTGCCTCCCAGGATCTCAACCAAAAATGGCAAACCTGCTGCTCGCTCGTGGCCTCCGTCTGCGGCTTCCAGTCCTTTGTCTCTGTAGAAGCAAAACCAGAAAGCAAGCTTCATCTCTGTGCAGAAGCAGCTAGAAAGTAGAAAGAAAACAGAGCAGCGAAGTCACCGGTAGCCAACTGCCTCCTCGATCTCAGCCGTCGCGACTCCACAACTGCCTCCCCGGATCTCAACCTTTCGCCGCTGCCCTTCCTCTCCTTCCACTGACAAAACAGATTTGCATTTGCATAAATTGCATTTGCATCGGGTATAAAAATGTAAAAAAAGAAAATGGTTTTTAGTCAACCGATTGAACCAGTCGGGTGAATTGGTTCAATCGGTTGAACCAGACCCGTGGCCAAAACGGGTCAGCCACCGAACCAGGTACAAAAACATTGCAAAATTTTCTCTCAACTTTAAAAAGTACCAAAATTATCTTTAAACTTTCATTTTCGATACCAAAACAGTTCTTCTGTTAGTTAAATGGACAAATGACATATTAACTTGCCAACAAATCAATTCTTTTTTCTTAACTAATGACATGAAAAAAAAAAAAACTACAATTGGATATATTTTTTATGAGTTGAAATTTTTATTTAATTTAAAAATAATAATGTTCTCTCTCCTTTACCCTCCCTTTTTCCTTACCTCTGCAAACCCAGATCTAGGTTTTCTTTCTCAAACTTCATCTTCTTCCTTTACTTGCTCATCTTTCTTCTTTCTTCTTCTTATTCTTTCTCTCTCTCTCTTCTCCCTTATTCTTCCTCTCTCAAACCCAGATCTCAATTTCATCACATAAATTAACAATTTGATGAAGTTGGTGATAATAAGAAAAGCAATACAAATCATTCCATTATATTAATTAAATATAAGCTCCGATTTCAAACGG